CGAAACTGAGTAAGAGCTGAATTCATTATCCTGTAAATTAAATATAGAAGAACAATCAAATACAATAAATCAATCCAAATACCTTGCTTTGACTTTCTTTCAAACCAGGACCTGAGTAACCTGAATGATTTAAATAATACCCCTCAAACCCATTTCCCTTTCCGATGACATAGTCTGTATTTTCTTATGCAGGAAGTATGACTGGAAAATATCTTGGAGTGCCATGAAAGCTGAAGGGCAAAGCTAAATTCCATCTAAAAGTACATAGAACAGGAATAGCAAGAACTAAAGATGCCTGTCCTGTTTCCAAAAGCAAGGGGAGGAGATGAGCAAAAAGAACAATGACATGTTACAGCCCAAGAGCTAAAATTAAATGCATGTAAACAATTCTTGTTGAAACTAGAAGCCAATGTAGATTAAGCAAACCAGGTAAAGAGTTCTTTCCTGCCAGAACAGGCCAGGATGAGAGTCACCTCACATTGAGACGCGGCTAGTGATAGAAGTGAAGCTAACACTGGAAAACCACAGAGTATTCTGAACTTGCGTGGCAGCTCTTAAATTCTACATTTAAGTATTGTATGTACCAAAAATCCATATTTCTTCTTTGTCCCACTCAAAATGCTGAAAGCCAGTTGTTCAGATACAGAAATATGAATGAGAATTTCTAGCTTATGTATAATTATTTCTCTGAAGCACATTTCTTGAGTAACCACTCTGGGCCTGGCCCTGTGGTAAAAGTTTGAATAATGAAGAGATGAATAAGGTATGGTCCCTACTCTCAGAGGATCAAGGAAGTCAGACATGTACACAAACAGCTACATGGGAGTAATCAAAGAAGGAGAGAGAAAAAGAAGGTAAGGCCAAATTAGATTGTTGACATTAGGGTGTGGAAGAGTCACCTTTAAATCCTATCCTACAGCTGGGTAAGCGGCAACTGGTTTGACCAGAATCCAACTGTGGTATTAATTTTTGCTGGGTTTCAAAGTAAACCTACACTACTGGTTCTCTGATACAGCTAAATCATAGAAATAGACCTGAGTAGATGTAAATTTCTATACTACTTTCCCAAAGGCTTTTGGGGCTTGTTTTAAAAGGTCATTCTTAAAGGTATGCAACAAACCAGAGGAGTTAGAATAGAAAATATCATCCGTTAAATAAATCTGATTCCTAACTTTGTCATGAGCAACTATAAACCTTTCTAAGTAAACTAAGAAACTAAATATTTATTAATAGGGAAGTATAAATAAATTATGGACCATCTCATGTAATAACTTTAAAAGAAGAAGGTAGCTCTAGCATAGAAACATCTCCACGTATAGAAGTGAAAGAAAACAGCCAGGAGGAAACAATTTAGGCTATAAACTAGCCTTGTTATTTGATGCAACTCAAACACTTTTTCTAAAGGTTAAGAAAATGGCACAAATATGTAAATAAAGTACAAAATATGATGCACTCTTTATCACTATTATGTTATACCTCCAGAATTATAATGGTTTAAAGTGATTTTTTTATAAAAATGTATTTGGCATTTGAATTAGTTATGTTATCTACCAAAAAATATTTTGTCCTGAAGTATTGTCTTGAAGTGCAATGTATGAAGATTTTTTAAATTGTTCCTAACTATTACTAGGTTGTTTTAGACCCCTTCTCTATAGTCACTTTCACAAGCCTTATCTTCATGTGTAAATAGCCCACGCACACAATAATTTCAATTCAAAAAGAGAAAAGTGAGCTTCGACCCGACTCTATTATAAGTGGATAGCCTACCTCCATACCAGCCCAAAGCAGATCTGTTATCATTTGTCTTTACTATTCATTATAAGGGAGAAAAGAAGAGGAGGGAAAGGGATTCTAGAAAAGAGAGGAGAGGGGGAAAAAAAAAGAGGAGAAAGGACTAACTATCCCTTCTAATAGCAGAATTTGCAAGTCGTCTGTTACATGTAGCCATATATTTCTAAGTCAAAAATCCAGGCCCTGTTCTGTGGCTTCTGCTCTTTAGTGATTGCTCCAAATTTTTCCTTTAGTAAAAAAAATCCCTTTGAGTAAGAGCATATCCATAATGACTCAGGACCCTCAAAGGTAAAATTTCCTTCTAAGAAAATTCATGAGAATAAGAAGCCAGTCTTACCTCTAGAAATGAGGCAGCATGCCACCGAAAGCCAGTATGGTTTGCACAGGATGTGGGGCTCAGCTCAACAATCAAGTCGGCCTTTCACAATTTACAAAGGCAAATGCACAGAAAAGCAGCCGCTACATTAGTGCCAACGTTATACAAGTAGAACAGGTGCATCCACCGCATCCTGGTGCCACAGCCACAGCTAGACACAGCCAGACTTTTCCACTGACAAGGCTACCAGAACTGGTCTTAGTTCAAGTCAATAGAAGCTTATTTCCATGGGGTAGATGAGAGCTATATTTGATGCCAGTCAACATATGCATGACTACCCAACAAGGCAAATAAAGAAGTAAAACAAACACTGTATCTATAAAATTCTTTCGAAAAAAAAAATCTTGAAGTAGAGAAGCTAGAACTAAGAGAGAATGATATTAGCTCAAGAAGTGTGAAATAATCACCAACACTCTCTAAATCAACTTTCTAATTTCAGTAGAAGAATCTTCTATGGTAAATCATCAAAACATAGTTCCAACTGCCCTCAACAGCATTTATTGGCTTACTGTAAATACATTAGGTTAGACTGCAAACATCCCCCAAAAAGAAAAAAAACTGAGAAAAATTAAAATAATATTATAATGATGATAATTATAGGGTATCATTTATTAAGCACCTACTAGGTGCCATTTTGCTATACTTAGCTACATAACTTAACCTCCATAACAGTCTTGTGAAGTAGGTTTTATTATCCCTGTTTTACAGATTTAAAAAACTACAGAAATATAAATTAAATATCTTTCCCAAGAACTCAGCTAAAAGTTAGAGAACCATAATCAAATTCCAATTAAACTCTTTCCACTGTACCAGGAGTCAGCAAACTATGACGCTTGTGTTCAATCTGTCCTGCAGTCTATTTTTGTAAAGTTGTATTGAGGCACAGACATTCTCATTCATTCATCTATTATCTATGGTTGTTTTGGTGCTACAACAGCAGAGTTGAGAAGTTGTGACAGAAACCATATGGCCTACAAAAATTAAACAATTTACTATCTGGCCCTTTAGAGGAAAAGTTTGCCAAATTCTACACTGCAGTATGCCATTACGAATTTTTAAAAAGTTGAGTAAAATAAATACATTCAGAGAATTATGAAATTCTAAGCAATGGGAGTTCACTGCAATCCATTTCTTTGTCAACAGCTACCCTAAGACATTCTGCCTGTACACAGAGCTTTCTTCCACTCCTTAAAACCTCAGCTAGGGAAGAAATATTTGTGTATTAGAAAACAAGAATGTAAATTTTATTGACTTATTAGTTCATCTCCTTCTCAGTTCTACTTCCAGCTTCTCCTTACTTCAAGTTCTCACAGGACATGTTACCAAACTAGGCCCCTAGGAAAGAAAGAAAAGGAGAAATACAATGAAAAAGTAGCACTATAGCTTCATGGAACTTCCATTCCATTTTTAAACCCTGACCACCTGAAGGAAGAACATGCCAAAACTCAGGGTTTACTTAGTTTAGTCTTGTGAGATCGATGCAAGCCTGAGTAGAGGAATTTATAGGTTAGAATAATAGAATTTTAATATGGAAGGCACATCAGATAATAATAAGTTGAGATGATTATGTTTATCAAAAAAAAAAAAAACCCAAACAAGAACCCAACCAAGCTGAGTGACTTGTCCAAGGTTGAAGAGGTAGCAATACAGAAAAGGCTTATTTTATCCATTCTACCACACATTAAACAGGATCGGGTTTAAGGCCACCATTTATCCTATTTACCAGCTTCCATATGTTCATTAATTTTATTTCCTTTATCAAGGCCCCATCTTTGATGGAAAGAGCAGATTTGGGGAATCAAGCGGACTTAGGTTAAAATTCTGTTTTGGTCATTTACTATTGGTGTAAATTTAGGAAAGTCAGTAAACCACTTTAAGCCTCAGTTTTATACAAGTAAAATACAGTTAATTATTGCCCGAGTGTAAAGAAGACGAAATGACATAGCACATTCAGTTCCTAAAAAAGTATCTAGCACATAGTATGAACTTTCAATATATGGCAAATGCTAGTATTATTCTTACAAGACAAGTGAACTGCATCGCCTCAGTCCCTTCTTGGGCCAAGGTCAGAAGATGTTAACAGTTAGACCAAGTAGCATCTCACAGTTCAAGTATAGATGATAACCTGCTGGCTGTATACTTTAGAGGGTTTTCCATCTGAGAAAGCTCACTTTTAAATTTCTAATCAAGTTTTGTACTAGTTGCATGTAATTGTTATTATATGTTATGATTTATGGACAGTTTTGTTTTTAATTACAAGGTTTTTATTAGAGAGACAGGTTTCAGGGTGAGTCTGACATCTGACTTGCTAGTACTTGTTAAAAGTTTTTATAGTGTGACTCATTTACATGTATGTGTGTGTGTGTGTGTGTGTGTGTGTGTGTGTGTGTGTGTGTGTGTTTAGGACTGCTATTTGTGTGTGTGTGTGTGTGTGTGTGTGTGTGTGTGTTTAGGACTGCTATTATTAAGTTTCGCTGGCATAGAGTGATTCAAATCTGTCTATATAAAAATTCCCCCCACCATCCCCTCTATTCCTTCACATATCCCACTCTTCTCCCATTTATCAAGGGCTAGTTTCAGATTATTTTCAAGGTTTTATACAGATAGATTCACTTGGAACTGACCTTGCCTAATTCCCTTCAGCTGCTTGTGAAATAGAAGCAAACACTGCTCAAAAGGGGAAATCTTTCAGGTATAGTGTGGTGGATGGAAAACCTAGGGGAAACCAGTAAGACAATGTCAAGCATAGATGTTATTTTCTCATGTGCAAGGTTTTTAATTTTGTAGAGAGAGAACCTGCAGGAAAAAGAATCTTCACATTAAAGTCAGAAAATGGTACTGAAAGCTCAGTGCTATAATTGCCTACAGAGGAAAAGAGAGAGAGAGAACATGAGTACACAAAGCCCATAAAAGAATAAAGATGCTCTAATAAGTAGAAAGATGAAAACAAAATGGAATAGACAGCAATGAAACAACTCCATGATAATTCAGTAATTCCAGCAGCCAAACCTTTAAGTACTTTCTGCATATGCACATGAAGCCCACATATGAACCCTGGAGCAAGGCATTGTAGAAAGGTATAAATGATAACCTTTTACAGATGCAGTAGTTTTCTTTTGTGTTGCTATTGACTTTAAGTTTCCCACTGCTTTATTAATTAAAAATACAGGAAACAGAAAGAATAAAAGGGAAGGAGGGAAATGAAGAGAAGAGGGGCAAGAATCAGAGAATAAGAGAAGGAGAAAGTGTCCAGTGTTAGTTATCACAGTCAATCAGAACTGCAAGCACTGGAGCCCATGCACAGAAGTGTTCACTTGATTCCACCTCCACTGAATCATTTCTGGAAATCACTCCTGCGGACTTCTGAAATATGGTATTGCTGAATAACAAATTAAACCACCGCCACTCCCAAACAACAAAAAAAAATAGTAGTTTAAAACACCTGTGTGTCAGAGTTCTGTTATGGCTTACTGGGTCTTATGCTTCACAGTCTCTTATAAGTCTTCAGTCAAGGCACCTATCAAGGGAAGAGGCTCACCTGAAGGCTCACCTAGGGAAGGATCTGCTTTCAAGCTAACACACATGATTGTTGACAGGATTCATTTTGTTGAGGGATGTTGAACTGAGGGCTTAAATTCCCAACTGGCTTTGGCTGGAGACTGCTCTCAGGTCCTCTCTCCTATGGCAGTTTGCTTCATTAAAATCAGCAAGGGAGAAGGAGAGTCTTCTAGCAAAATAAAAGTCACACTCTTTTGTAAACTAATCATGGAAGTGATACTTTCTCTAAATTGCTATACTGTGTGGGTTTAGAAAGCAGCTACTCAAGTAGAGGGACTTACACAGGCATGAACACTAGGAGGCTGAGATAACTAGGAGCTATCTTAGAGGTACCCACCGCAACAGGGCAATCTACTCTCATTTTCTTTGTTTGCTCTTTTCTGTCTTGATCTCTATTCAAATTACCACAGAATCCCAAAATAACCAGGTATAAATAGATAAAATCTTACTTTTTGTTCTAAGTTTGCATTCCTTAGAAGAGTTTGTAGTGCAGAAGAAGCATTCAGTTGATATAGGGAAAGCATGAATACCAGGCTCGATTCTGGAAATTTACTGGCTATAAGATTTCATCCATGAACCTGAATTTCTCATCTTTGAAATGAGGATAATTAGGACTCCTCTGTTTATCTCCTATAACTATTAGGAGAACCAAGGATGAGTATATGTGTATCAGTGTTTCTCAAAAACAGTAAGGTAGCACTGAAGGTTACCAGGAATGATTGTAGGTGGTACATGAACTATAGGTGGAACTTTTTTAAGTTATTTGCTTTTAGAGCACCTTACAAAAAATATAATTATAAATAATATAAAATATACATAATCACGATTTTACAGCTAATGTGGCTTAAATGAGACAAATGAAGTTGAAAAAAGGTAAGTCAATTTGAAGAAACTCATTAAGAATATAATATGATAGATGGTCTGAGAATGAGGCAAATGTTGTAAAAGTGATATACAAATGATTACATAAAATCTAAAATGCTCCACAAATGCATCGAATCTCATGAATTAACTTATACTCCATAATTCTGGTTTAAGAAGGTAACTAGTATATTCTTTTTTTTTTTTAATGTGTTCTAGGTACATTTCTTTTTTAAAATTATTTTTTATTATTTAATATTAGTTTAAAGTATACAATACAATGCTTAGAAATTTAACTTATGAAGTAATCCCCTGATTACTCTAGCATCCATCTGGCACTATACACAGTATTAATATTGACTATATTGACTATATTCCCTATGCTGTACTCCACATCCCCATGACTGTTTTGTAACTACTAATTTGCACTTCTTCATCCTTTCACTTTTCACTCAGACCCCATCTCCTCCTCCCTCTGGCAATTACCAGTTTGTTCTCCATTTCTGTGAGTCTGTTTATGTTTAGTTTGTTCATTTCTTTTGATCCTTGGATTCCACATATAAGTGAAATCATATAGCATTTATCTTCCTCTGACTTATTTGACTCAGCATAATACCCTCTTGGTCGATCCATGTGGTCGCAAATGGTAAGATTTCATTCTTTTTTATAGTTGAGTAGTATTTCATCATATAAATGTACCACTTTTTTTATCTAATCATCTATTGATGAGCACTTACGTTGCTTTCATTTCTTAGTTATTGAATAATGCTACAACAAACATAGGGGTGCATATATCTTTTAGAATTCGTGTTTTGGATTTCTCGGATAAATACCCAGAAGTGGAGCTGCTGGGTCAAAAGGTAGCTCTACTTTTAATTTTTTGAGGAAACTACAAATGTTTTCCAGAGTGGCTGCACCAATTTGCAATC